AAAAATACGTACAAAGTTATCACTAGCCACGGTCATTAAAGCTACAAAATAGTTTGTCCTGTCTCTGTTCAAAAAAAGCCATTCTTGGAAGGGTAACTTTACAAAGTGTAAGACAATGAGGTCATCTAGGCAATATAAGGAAAATAAAGAGAAGTAGATGGACAAGAAATCATACAAATGCAGCAAAATAGTACAATAAAATACAAGGTGTATATGTTGACAAGCTGTCCATACAATAACCGTAAAACAAGCACTTCCGTGAATAAACGAGGACAGTGCTTATTTTAGAGTGTTGTGCAGACAGACATCTTGTGGTGGCCATCTTGCAAGCTTGAAGGACTATATTATGGATCAGCTGCTTAGTTTTGCCCTAGTTTTGGCTGCTGTGCATACACAAAAGCAATACTCAAAAGTTTTGGGATTGTAGATGGTCCAGTCACAAAAAATACGAACAAAGTTATCACTAGCCACGGTCATTAAAGCTACAAAATAGTTTGTCCTGTCTCTGTTCAAAAAAAGCCATTCTTGGAAGGGTAACTTTACAAAATGTAAGACAATGAGGTCATCTAGGCAATATAAGGAAAATAAAGAGAAGTAGATGGACAAGAAGTCATACAAATACAGCAAAAAGTACAATAAAATACAAGGTCTATATGTTGACAAGCTGTCCATACAATAACTTTAAAACAAGCACTTCCGTGAATAAACGAGGACAGTGCTTATTTTAGAGTGTTGTGCAGGCAGACATCTTGTGGTGGCCATCTTGCAAGCTTGAAGGACTATATTATAGATCAGCTGCTTAGTTTTTTGCCCTAGTTTTGGCTGCTGTGCATACACAAAAGCAATACTCAAAAGTTTTGGGATTGTAGATGGTCCAGTCACAAAAAATACGAACAAAGTTATCACTAGCCATGGTCATTAAAGCTACAAAATAGTTTGTCCTGTCTCTGTTCAAAAAAAGCCATTCTTGGAAGGGTAACTTTACAAAATGTAAGACAATGAGGTCATCTAGGCAATATAAGGAAAATAAAGAGAAGTTGGACAAGAAGTCATACAAATGCAGCAAAATAGTACAATAAAATACAAGGTGTATATGTTGACAAGCTGTCCATACAATAACCATAAAACAAGCACTTCCGTGAATAAACGAGGACAGTGCTTATTTTAGAGTGTTGTGCAGACAGACATCTTGTGGTGGCCATCTTGCAAGCTTGAAGGACTATATTATGGATCAGCTGCTTAGTTTTTTGTCCCCTAGTTTTTGGCTGCTGTGCATACACAAAAGCAATACTCAAAAGTTTTGGGATTGTAGATGGTCCAGTCACAAAAAATACGTACAAAGTTATCACTTAGCCACGGTCATTAAAGCTACAAAATAGTTTGTCCTGTCTCTGTTCAAAAAAAGCCATTCTTGGAAGGGTAACTTTACAAAGTGTAAGACAATGAGGTCATCTAGGCAATACAAGGAAAATAAAGAGAAGTAGATGGACAAGAAATCATACAAATACAGCAAAAAGTACAATAAAATACAAGGTGTATATGTTGACAAGCTGTCCATACAATAACTTTAAAACAAGCACTTCCGTGAATAAACGAGGACAGTGCTTATTTTAGAGTGTTGTGCAGGCAGACATCTTGTGGTGGCCATCTTGCAAGCTTGAAGGACTATATTATAGATCAGCTGCTTAGTTTTGCCCTAGTTTTGGCTGCTGTGCATACACAAAAGCAATACTCAAAAGTTTTGGGATTGTAGATGGTCCAGTCACAAAAAATACGAACAAAGTTATCACTAGCCACGGTCATTAAAGCTACAAAATAGTTTGTCCTGTCTCTGTTCAAAAAAAGCCATTCTTGGAAGGGTAACTTTACAAAATGTAAGACAATGAGGTCATCTAGGCAATATAAGGAAAATAAAGAGAAGTAGATGGACAAGAAGTCATACAAATACAGCAAAAAGTACAATAAAATACAAGGTCTATATGTTGACAAGCTGTCCATACAATAACTTTAAAACAAGCACTTCCGTGAATAAACGAGGACAGTGCTTATTTTAGAGTGTTGTGCAGGCAGACATCTTGTGGTGGCCATCTTGCAAGCTTGAAGGACTATATTGTAGATCAGCTGCTTAGTTTTGCCCTAGTTTTGGCTGCTGTGGATACACAAAAGCAATATTTGGGATTGTAGATGGGACAGTCACAAAAAATACAAATAAAGTTATCACTAGCCATGGTCATTAAAGCTCCAAAATAGTTTGCCCTGTCTCTGTTCAAAAAAAAACATTCTTAGAAGGGAAATTTTCCAAAATGTAAGACAATGAGGTCATCTAGGCAATATAAGGAAAAAAAAGAGAAGTAGATGGACAAGAAGTCATACAAATACAGCAAAAAGTACAATAAAATACAAGGTCTATATGTTGACAAGCTGTCCATACAATTACTTTAAAACAAGCACTTCCATGAATAAACCCGGACCGTGCTTATTTTAGAGTGTTGTGCAGACAGACATCTTGTGGTGGCCATCTTACAAGCTTGAAGGATTATATTATGGATCAGCTGCTTAGTTTTGCCCTAGTTTTGGCTGCTGTGCATACACAAAAGCAATACTCAAAAGTTTTGGGATTGTAGATGGGCCAGTCACAAAAAATACAAATAAAGTTATCACTAGCTATGGTCATAAAAGCTCCAAAATAGTTTGCCCAGTCTCTGTTCAAAGCCATTCTTGTCAGGGCAATTTTCCAAAATGTAAGATAATGAGGTCATCTAGGCAATATAAGGAAAATAAAGAGAAGTAGATGGACAAGAAGTCATACAAATGCAGCAAAATAGTACAATAAAATACAAGGTCTATATGTTGACAAGGTGTCCATACAATTACTTTAAAACAAGCACTTCCATGAATAAACCCGGACCGTGCTTATTTTAGAGTGTTGTGCAGACAGACATCTTGTGGTGGCCATCTTGCAAGCTTGAAGGACTATATTATGGATCAGCTGCTTAGTTTTGCCCTAGTTTTGGCTGCTGTGCATACACAAGAGCAATACTGAAAATTAAACTGTACATAATATCTAAATGAGCTAATTTCATAGGGCCTAAAAGGTGAACAAAAGCTGGTAACCTCTGCTAGGGCAACAGGCTAAGCAAAGCACTTTCCCCATGGTAAACACAGGAGAGTGTCCAGTTTAGCACGTTTCCCTGACAGGCTAACAAATGTAGAATATCCAGGGCAGCCATTGTTATGTTGAAGAAGAAACTGGACAGTAGAAGATTCACATAAAGGTTGCCTGTCTAAAGACAAAACTAGTCAGCACTTACCAATCAATTAATAGACAAGTGAGAGTCCTAGTTCAGGTGACAAGAATGACAACATAGATACAGTTAAAAGTTCAATAAACACAAAAAAGGGTGAGGGACAAAAGAAGCCTCACCCTTTTTAATAACAGTTAAAAAAACATACCTGATTACACAATGCCCCAAACGATTAAGCACTTTTCCCAAATACTACACACAGGAAAGTGCCTAGTTTAGGGTGTTGTGCAGACAGACTAGAACCTGAAGATAGATAAAAATTTTGTACTGACCATTTTGTAACAACCAAAGAGGTACGAAATGACTCAAGTCCTCAAGTTTCGTCCCTTACAATACGAGTAAGAACAGATCCACAAATATTTGAAACCTGAAAGAAATATATTTGAAAAATTAATGCATTCTACTTCAAAACAGGCAAAACAACTACAGCAACACAACTTGTATAAAGCAATGCTGTGCTAAGGATGTGTGATAAATGCTATTAATTAATAAGCAGCACTCCAAGGGGTATCCAAAGGGTCAAAAATAATCCCGAGCACGGACAGACTGACCAGGGGGATCAGGTACCAGGGGCATCTCATGGGGCCCCCTACTGACCGAGGGCCGGGGTCAGTAGGGGGCCCCATGAGTTGCCCCTGGTACCTTTTTCATAGGCTTTTGAGTTTGGGCAAGGACACAGGGGCCACATGTCTCCCTTTGTAATGTACAGCGCTGAGCGAACTATTGGCGCTTTATAAATACTGTATAATAATAATAATAATAATAATGATCCCCTATTGCCCGGGGGCCCCATGAGTTGTCAGTCCGCCCCTGCGCTAGAGTAATATTGGAGTGGATTCAAAAGGAATACAATCAGAAATCCCAAAGTTGGGGATTGTAGATGGTCCAGTCACAAAAAATACAAATAAAGTTATCACTAGCCATGGTCATTAAAGCTCCAAAATTGTTTGCCCCATCTGTTCAAGAAAGCCATTCTTGGAAGGGTAATTTTACAAAATGTAAGACAATGAGATCATCTAGGCAACATAAGGAAAATAAAGAGAAGTCACAAGAAGTCATACAAATGCAGCAAAATAGTACAATAAAATACAAGGTCTATATGTTGACAAGCTGTCCATACATTTACTCTAAAACAGGCACTTCCATGAATAAACCTGGACAGTGCTTATTTTAGAGTGTTGTGCAGACAGACATCTTGCGGTGGTCATCTTGCAAGCTTGAAGGACTATATTATGGATAAGCTGCTTAGTTTTGCCCTAGTTTGGCTGCTGTGCATACACAAAAGCAATATTCAAAGTTTTGGGATTGTAGACGGGCCAATCACAAAAAATACAAATAAAGTTATCATTAGCCATGGTCATTAAAGCTCCAAAATAGTTTGCCCTGTCTCTGTTCAAAAACGCCATTCTTGGAAGGGTAATTTTCCAAAATGTAAGACAATGAGTTAATCTAGGCAACATAAGGAAATTAAAGAGAAGTAGATAACGGATAGAAGGGAATGTGAGGGGATTACCTGCTCTTGGCGGCCTTGGGGCTCTCAGTCTTCTTGGGCAGCAGCACGGCCTGGATGTTGGGCAGGACTCCTCCCTGGGTGATTGTGACGCCGCCCAGCAGCTTGTTGAGCTCCCTGTTGCTGACAGCCAGCTCGTTGCGGACAGCCAGCTGGAGGTGTCGAGGGATGATGCAGGTCTTGTCTCAGGCGGCGTTGCCGGCCAGCTCGAGGATCTCAGCCGTCAGATACTCCAGGACGGCAGCCAGATAGAGAGCTCCGGCCCTGATCCGCTCAGCATAGTTGCCCTTCCGGAGCAGCCGGTGAACACGTCCAACAGGGAACTGCAGACCAGCCCGGGACGATTGGGTCTTGGCCTTAGCCCGAGCCTTGCCTTCTTGTTTGCCGCGACCAGACATGATTGGATGACTGAGGAGTCACTCAAATATACACAAAGAGAAGTTGATGGAAAAGTTATCAGCTTACCTGGCAGTCAATGATCTCTTGACTCCTCAAGAGCCATCACCTTTTAAAGAGCCTCCTGAAAAGCCCACTGCCCAATCAAGTGCATGTGACATCATCTGATTGCTTTGCATATCATTAGGTGAGAGGTATTGTTTACTGGAGTGGAGAGACCCTGATTAAAGAGACCCTTTGGAACCAAATGTTGAATTAAAATAGAGATTGGAATCTATTCAACTAGAGAACTTGCATTCTAAAGAAGGCTTACAAGACAATGAGGAATGTTTATATCCTTAAAACACAGTTGGCTGATCTTCTCCCATAATTGTTCTTAATTCACTAAGCAGGTTAGCTAAGGGAGTTTGGAAAGTGGAGGCCAACATTTACCATTTTAAAGTCCATACTTATTTTTTTTTAAGAATCAAGCTTTACTGAAAGACGTGGCACATTGACAGCAATAACAGCAATGCAAGACACTTGAGCATTATAGTTTAACCAAGATAATACATTCAATGTCTCAGGCCATCATCAACAAAATGTAACAATCAACATGAATATGGCTCAGAGGAAACAGTGACTAGGAATTCCCCACAGTTGCGCAATACTTTGAGATGGAAAGTAAATGACTATAGATTGATTATAGATTGATTGATTATACAAGATTACATCAGTATGATTTTTTTTGTTTGTTTATATACAGGTGAAACTCGAAAAATTAGGTGAAACTAATATATGAGATAGACTCATTACATGCAAAGCAAGATAGTTCAAGCCGTGATTTGTCATAATTGTGATGATTATGGCTTACAGCTCATGAAAACCCCCAAATCCACAATCTCAGAAAATTAGAATATTGTGAAAAGGTGCAATATTCTAGGCTCAAAGTGTCCCACTCTAATCAGCTAATTAAGCCATAACACCTGCAAAGGGTTCCTGAGCCTTTAAATGGTCTCTCAGTCTGGTTCAGTAGGAATCACAATAATGGGAAAGACTGCTGACCTGACAGTTGCACAGAAAACCATCACTGACACCCTCCATGAGGGAAATCCTCAAAAGGTAATTGCAAAAGAAGTTGGATGTTCCCAAAGTGCTGTATCAAAGCACATTAATAGAAAGTTATGTGGAAGGGAAAAGTGTGGAAGAAAAAGGTGCACAAGCAGCAAGGATGACCGCAGCCTGGAGAGAATTGTCAGGAAAAGGCCATTCAAATGTGTTGGGGACTTTCAAGGAGTGGACTGAGGCTGGAATCAGTGCATAAAGAGCCACCACACACAGACGGATCCTGGACATGGGCTTCAAATGTCGTATTCCTCTTTTCAAGCCGCTCCTGAACAACAAACAAAGTCAGAAGCATCTTACCTGGGTTAAAGAAAAACAGACCCAGTCTGTTGCTCAGTGGTCCAAAGTCCTCTTTTCTGATGAGAGCAACTTTTGCATCTTATTTGGAAACCAAGTACCCAGAGTATGGAGGAAGAATGGAGAGGCACACACTGCAAGATGCTTGAAGTCCAGTGTGAAGTTTCCACAGTCTGTGTTGATTTGAGGAGCCATGTCATCTGCTGGTGTTGGTCCACTGTGCTTCGTTAAGTCCAGGGTCAACGCAGCCGTCTACCAGGAGATTTTGGAGCACTTCATGCTTCCTTCCGCAGATGAGGTTTATGGGGATGCTGACTTCCTTTTCCATCAGGATTTGGCACCTGTCCACACTGCCAAAAGCACCAAAACCTGGTTCAATGACCGTGGGATTACTGTGCTTGATTGGCCAGCAAACTCACCTGACCTGAACCCCATAGAGAGAATCTATGGGGCATTGCCAAGAGAAAGATGAGAGACATGAGACCAAACAATGCAGAAGAGCTGAAGGACGATATTGAAGCATCTTGGTCTTCCATAACACCTCAGCAGTGCCACAGGCTGCTAGCTTCCATGCCACGCTGCATTGAGGCAGTAATTGCTGCAAAAGGGGCCCAAACCAAGTACTGAGTACATATGCATGCTTATACTTTTCAGAGGTCCGATATTGTACAATCCTTGTTTTATTGATTGCATGTAATATTCTAATTTTCTGAGATTGTGGATTTGGGGTTTTCATGAGCTGTAAGCCATAATCATCACAATTATGACAAATCACAGCTTGAACTATCTTGCTTTGCATGTAATGAGTCTATCTCATATATTAGTTTCACCTTTTAAGTTGCATTACTGAAATAAATGAACTTTTGCACAATATTCAAATTTTTCGAGTTTCACCTGTATAACAGCTAGTCAGCTGACAGTTCTAGACATAAGATATTTGCATGGTTTGCCAGCTTGTAGCTAGGACTGCTTAGGGATAAATTCGATTGATCTTGTCTACAAGACAAGCTGATGCTTGTGCACTACACAACAGTTATTAATGAGAAGGATTTTGAAACAAATTTATCCATTAATGAAACCTAAAAACTTTAAGCTAAGCCTCCCATAGACATAAGGCAGCAGTCTGAAGAAACAGGCAATTTTTAGTTCAATTTTCATTTATCTAAAGAAGATTATTCACAAAAGGGTTCCCAGTCAAAGAACAATGTTTTTAATGAAAATATTGCGTACAAATGTGGAACTGCACTTTGGGCAAATGTGCATGCTCATGCCTGTACAGTAAGGAGAATTTGCAAAGTGAAACAAAAAGAAAGCGCACCAACCTTGCGCATTACCTCGATGCGAAACTTGATTTTATTAAAATGAGATATATACTCACAAACGAAGCAGTAAACCAAGCGTGCAAGATCCTCAAAGGAACATTAAAGTGCAAGACCAGTGAAAGGTGCCTACAGACATAAGAGACAGTTTGAAATATTCATGCCATTTATCGTCAGATTGGGGAATCCTTGTAGGTCTGTAGGCTCAACTAGAGCATAACAGACATCTCCTGCCCTAGGAAGAGAACTGCTTTACAGCCAGTTACAGTTGGGGATGTCTGGTAAATTCTCCTTACTGGAAATAGAAACATCACCTCCTGAGCTCAGGGACCCAGATCAAGGGTGGGTGGGTGGATGGACCACTTATGGAAGTTCTTCCACCAATGGATCAAAGGTTGTGCAGCTCTTAACAAGGCTGGGGAAGCCCGACTAGTGCTGCAAAGTGAAACAAAAAGAAAGCGCACAAACCTTGTGCATTACCTCAATACAAAACTTGATTTTATTAAAATGAGATATATACTCACAAACGAAGCAGTAAACCAAGCGTGCAAGACCAGTGCTAGTCATATCAAGGGGGGATGACTCTCAATAGTTCCTCTGATGCATTTCGAAGGGGGGTCCCTTCTTCCTCTAAGCTCTGAGGAAGAAGGGCCCCCTCTTTGAAACACGTCAGCGGAACTTTTGATAGTCTCCCCCCTTGATGTGACTAGCACTGGTCTTGCACTTTAATGCTCCTTTGATGATTTTGCATGCTTGGTTTACTGCTTCGTTTGTGAGTATATATCTCATTTTAATAAAATCAAGTTTTGTATTGAGGTAATGCGCAAGGTTGGTGCGCTTTCTTTTTATTTCACTTTGCAGCACTAGTCGGGCTTCCCCAGCCTTGTTAAGAGCTGAACAAGCTTTGATCCATTGGTGGAAGAACTTCCATAAGTGGTCCATCCACCCACCCACCTTTGATCTGGGTCCCTGAGCGCAGGAGGTGCTGTTTCTATTTCCAGTAAGGAGAATTTACCAGACATCCCCAACTGTAACTGGCTGTAAAGCAGTTCTCTTCCTAGGGCAGGAGATGTCTGTTATGCTCTAGTTGAGCCTACAGACCTACAAGGATTCCCCAATCTGACGATAAATGGCATGAATATTTCAAACTGTCTCTTATGTCTGTAGGCACCTTTCCATAAATGGTAACAAACTCATTTCTGGACAACATCTTTCCTTGCCCAAATACACTTGCAACACTGCCAGAATAATATGAAATCTTTTGAATGCTTACTCTGTGCACTTTATAATAAGCTTATGCCTATTATATTATGATTTTCAATATTGTGCAAGCTGCTTTTCCCTTATAATTTTGTTTATTATTATACAGGATTTATATAGCACCAACAGTTTGCGCAGCGCTTTCAAATATGAGGGAGACAGTACAATTACAACACATTTCAGTACAGAAGGAATAGGAGGGCCCTGCTCATGAAGCTTACACAAGCACAGTCATATTTGTATTTTCATTACTCTGTGCACTTATTTGAATTAGGAAAAAATTTAATTAAAAACATAAACTTATGAAATTCATTTAGCCTCCTCGGCGGTCTGACTATTTCCGATTTTTTATGCTGAAAAGCGGTACCATTTTTTACATGGAAATATGTAGTTTTTTATTGTAGGCTGTAATTTTTAGGAATAACTCACTGAAATCTGTACGAACAAGAGTCTAGTAAACATCCCGGGTATGATAAAATTTGAAACACGAAATCATAAATTATAATTTAATAAATAATCATAAAAAATAATAATATAATAATAATAAATTTAATTCAATAATATAATCAAACCAAAAACACTGAAATTTGAAATAAAGAGGCAAATTCGCACATCGCTGAGCAAAGTCGCAAAATCGTTTTCAGTGTCTGATGACGAATTTCCCCACGAATCATTATCACTCAATTCTGCAAGTGGTCCTGATTTACTATCGCTGTTCTCTAGCTGTCTAAAACCTCTTTTGACGTAAAGGAACGCTTTTTGGACGCCATGGACTTTTCTAAGTTTCCAGGCAGAAAGAACAGTCAAAATGCAGGCAGGGCACAGGACAAAGCACTCGGGACAAAATGTATGTGAAATGCATTGAAACAGCAATGTTTTACTATGCAATAATCATTTTTAAAAAAATTAAATTTTTTAAAAATTTCAAATTTGCCGCTGTTTCCGGTGTCACAGGGACCGGAACACGGAAGCCGGATGCCGGCATCAGCCGGAGGAGATGGCCGGGGATGCTGCAGGGGACACATCGTGGGAGCGAAGGACAAGGTAAGTGCTGCAGGGACTCCCTGAGCAGCGCCGCATGGTAAGCCCGAGTGTAGCTCGGGGTTACCGCTCTTGGTACTCAAATTTTACCCCGAGCTACACTCGGGAATACCGCTAAGGAGCTTACATTTTTCAAGAGTGTGCTTTTTAAGCTTACTAGACATGTGCAATTCATTTCATTATGAATCGAAATTCAGTCAAACTTTGCTTGATTCAGATGTATGCGAATCTCCAAATCACTATAGTAAATAAATTCAGTTAATCTGAAATAAATTATAACATAAACAACAAATTCATCCGTATTCATTTTTTTTTTCATTCAAATGACATGATGTGATAGTCTGGACCTTTTGTTAATGTTTTGAAGCATCCAAAATAATGTGAACAACTTAAGGAATGATCCAAAGTGATTTGGATCCATTCAATTTTATTCTAAAGAGATTAGCATGAATATTCTAAAATTCTTTTGTATTGGGGTTGATCTTGAGTGACCATTTGTTTAATTTGTATGTCAAAGCCCAACAAACAGTCACTTGGAAATGGGGAAATGAGAAATTTCAGAACTACTCTTAGATTGTAAGCTCCAAGGAGCAGGGCCCTCCTATCCCTCCTGTACTGAACTGTATTGTTGATGTATTGTCTCCTGTTATATTGTAAAGTGCTGAGCAAACTGTTGGCGCTATATAAATCCTGTATAATAATAATAATACACTGTATCTGAGCACCAAAAAACAAAGACACTATTTAATTCATTTTTAATATTCAAAGCAAACTAACCCATCCATTCATGTCTCAATGCTTTATTTTGCTGAGAAATCACTTAGAAAAACAGTCCCTGAGATTTCTGTCCCTGACCATCTTGACCCTAGGTTCACAATTAAGCGTTTTCTGCAGTGTTTTGCAGAAACGCAGTACAGTCCATTTAACATGCTTTCCTATGGGTCATGTTCACTCCTGTGCGCTTTCACCCGGTGCGTTTTTTGAAAAGGGTCAGGGACTTTTTTGACCGCAAAAAATTGCATTTTTGTTTCTAAAGACTTCAATGGAAATGCTGCAGAAAAGCAAGTAGTGCGTTTTTGCTGCATCTTTTTAAGTTTTTGATGCATTTTGTGTTTTAAATCTGCCTAGAAACAAGAAAAAAATTGCAAAATGTGGCAAAAACACAACACAAAACGCAATGCAGAAATGACGCAAACGCAACCTGCATAGTTGTGAACCTAGCCTGAGGAAGGGCAGATGATTCATGTAGCAGATACTTATTGGAATCCATCTGCCCTTAGCTCAGGCACGCAGGCAGGAGGGTGTGCTTAGCTGAGAAAACCCCTCCTGCCCTTCTGAAGACTCCTGGGTTATATGACATCATTTGCCTAGGCATGGAAACTAGGAAGCAAGTAGGGAAGTAAATAGGGAAATTCTGGTTATCGGCATTTCTCTGCTCACAAGCTATCACGCTGACAGCTCGAGAGGAGAGGAGAGCTGGTAATCGGCATTCCTCAGAGGGGACATGTACACTGATCATCAGGGCACTGATGATCAGTGTGCCCCAGTAGTGCTACCTGTCAGTGCCCATCAATGCCAGCTGTCAGTGCTCATCAATGCCACCTACCAGTGCCCATCAGTGCCACATATCAGTGCACATCAATGCCACATATCAATGCCAATCTGAGCTGCCTTTCAGTGTCACCTATCAGTGCTGCCAATCAGTGCCAGTCAGTGCCGCCTAATATTGCCAGTCAGTGCCGCCTATCAGTGCCATATAAGAGCTCTGCCTTTCAGTGCTTATCAGTGATGCCTGTCAGTGCCCATTAGTGCCACCTACCAATGCCTCCTCATCAGTGCCACCTATCAGTGCCCATCACTGCAGCCTCATTAGCGCACATCAGTGAAGGAGAAAAATCACTTATTTACCAAATTTTATAACAAAAACTAAGAAAAAACTTTTTTTTCAAAATTTTCAGTTGTTTTTGGTTTGTTTAGCAAAAAATAAAAACCCAGAGGTGATTAAATACCACCAAAAGAAAGCTCTATCTGTCTCGAAAAATGATAAAAATTTCATATGGGTACAGTGTTGCATGACCGCGCAATTGTCATTTAAAGTGTGACAGCACTGAAAGCTGAAAACTGGCCTGGGCAGGAAGGGGGTATAAGTACCCTGTAGGCAAGTGGGTAAAGAAAAAAACTGTTTTTTTTTTTAAACCTGGTGCAGCTGTGCGTGGTGGACAATCAGCTTCTACCTTCAACTTTTTCAGTTAAGCTTTGACAAGCAAACCTGGAAGCTGATTGGTCTCTATGCAGAGCTGCACCAGATCTTGCATTCTCTAGTTTTAGTAAATCAATCCCTATGCGTCTTCTGTTCATGAATAAACAGTTTATGTAAATGATCATAGTAGATCAGTTTTATGTGAGTTTGGAATGTTGATGACTTCATTGAAGCTGATGGAGCTAGCTTTACAGGATTATTATTATTATTATACAGGACTTGTATAGCGCCAACAGTTTGCGCAGCACTTTACAATATAAAAAGAGACAGTACAGCAACAATATAATCAAAACAAGAGGATTAAGAGGGCCCTGCTCATAAGAGCTTACAATCTAATATGGTGGGGAAAGTGGTACAAAAGGTTATAACTGTGGGGGATGAGCTGATGGAAGTGGTAAATGTCTATTCGGAGGCATGATAGGCTTCCCTGAAGAGATGAGTTTTCAGGGATCACCTAAAGGCAGACAGAGAAGGGGGTAACCGAACAGATTGAGGTAGAGAGTTCCAGAGGATGGAAGAGGCTCTGGCAAAAGTCCTGGAGATGAGCATGGGAGGAGGAGACAAAGGGAGCTCTTCTGTACATGGCACAGGATCTCTTACCTAATTCCAGAACAATGTCAACCATTTCTGGACATCTTTACATTCAAGCTACATAGTTGTACAACTCAATATGACCACTCAAAGGTGTTTCACAAGAAAATTATTAAATGATATTAAACTGACTCTGGAAGATTGGCCAGAGATGTCCAGATGTTTTTCCAAAAACCACAAGTATGGGAGATATCTGCCCATTCACAAACTATACCCTAAGTCCCACCACTTATCTTGTGACCATCCAACAAGGTGAAGAATTCTATAACAGTACCATGCATTGGGAGACTCATATTTTTGCAGCAATGTTAAAGTATAATTTTTATTTTTCCTAGAACCATCCCCTTTTAGGTAGTAAGGCAACAAGCTGGGGTGTACACATGTTACAACAGGAATTATACCCCTGTCACTTTCAGTAGGTGCTACCACCCACTTAATGTGTCTCATTCAAGTAAATGGGGTTGTGCTGAAACTGCTCAACAGCCATGAGCAATGCATGTGGTTGGAGCAATGCATGTGGTTGTGGCATGGTAGTGGGGCATTTGGGGGTTAAAACAGGCGGTGAGGAAGTGATGCAATGTCTCTTACCACCTGTCAAATGCTCTCTGAAGAGTGATCTGGAACTCTCAGGAACTGTGGCCCAAGGATTATTCCATCTGCACCTGAATTTTCAATAGTCTTGTTTCTGCCCCCTGTCCTCTGCAGAACAAATGGGGCCTCCTTATTAGTAAACCTGTATGTCACTGCTTGCAACCAATGCACTAACGCAGGCCATAGACGAGTCGTTTATCGGCCGAATTTTCACGCCTCTAGCAGGGCAGTGACGTCGGACGTTTTTCGTAGACATTGGTGGCAGCATCAGCAACGACCGATTCTTTGTTTATCGGCCGGCAATTCGGCCGATAAACAACAAGTCTATGGCCTGCATTAGTGCTGTGAATGCAGTCAGAAGTGTATGCAAAACCATAAAAAGTGCTAATGCACATCACTGCATTCACATGGGGCTTAAAACTTTTTTCCTATTTTTTCTGAAGTACAACTTGAGTGTGGTAATAAGATATACCTGGATGGCACCTTTAGCTGCATTTCAATGTAAAATGCTACCAACCTGCTGCAAGCATATCAACAGGTTATCACAAAACAGATATACCTCATACTTTTTTTTATATGTTAAAAAAATGTGAAGAATTTATTTTAAAAAAATATTTTTTTTAAAAATATATTTTTTAAAATATATTCTTCAGATTTTTTAAAGACATACAGTATATTTGAAATGTAGTTTTAAAAATATTTTCCATATATTTTATAATAAAAACGCATTTCAACATGCAATATATTTTGAAATATATTGAATATGGCCAAAATTGTAGTATTTCAAATATATGGCAATATATTTGGGAAGAATATTTGTAAAATATATTTCAAATATATTTTTCTTCCATGTGGGACAGTACAAGTGTATATTGTTAGTTTAGTAATTTAACATCAAAAGTTTAAAATATGAACATTACATCTATTTATATAATTCTATTTGTTTCTTAAGGGAACAGGTATTTTAGAAGCAAAGGCACTAAAACAATGACACTAAAGGCAAAGGGCACTAAAACTCATTAATGCAGATGCAAGGACAGACAGTTGGTATGTTGCCTGGGGTCCCTTTTGTCTTATCCTCCTGTTGTGCAGGTCTAATCTACTTTTCATATCAACACCTTTTCTGCTTGACCCTTTTAAATTGCAAATCGCTCCTTGCATGAATATTCAATGTGCAAATGAGGAATTGGCCCCACTCCCCTCTTGGAGACTTTCATCCTGATTATGTGGCTCTAAAGACCCCCTGTGCATTTCATTCAATATGGTAATTGTGGGGGGGTTTTTTCTAAACCTGAAGTTAAAAACAAATGGGACATGAGAATCACCTGATTAATTTAAGCTGAATGCCTATATGTTATAACAAATTAGATATTACTGTATAATAGAAGGAAGGCATAAGTCTATATTGCCAGAATGCTTGCCTTGCAGGGTTGGGCTCATCGGTTCAATAGTCATCAAGGCAGGGGCGGACTGACAACTCATGGGGCCCCCGGGCAATAGGGGATCATGTGTCCCCTGTGTTTTTGCCCAAACTCAAAAAAGCCTATGAAAAAGGTACCAGGGGCATCTCATGGGGCCCCCCTACTGACCCCGGGCCCTCGGGCAGTGCCCGAGTTTCCAAATGGTCAGTCCGCCTCTGCATCAAGGTGATTATCAGCATAACATTCATATATTTTATTCATGTTTCCACTGGTTTCCTCTAAGTGATGAACCCAAAAACATATTTATTGGAGGACTGATTATCACTACTGCCTGTCAGTAAGTTTTACTGTACATAACCAACACCAAAGAGCCAAATCTATATGGATTCCCTCTAAGTTGTTGAGTTCAGGTGTTTTCAGTGAAGTTTACTGTTATTGCTACAGCAGACAAAGACATTTTGGGCTTCCAACATTCTGGTAGCTGTTGGAAAAAGGCCCTTTTTTGTTGCAGGATGACAGTGCCCCTATGAACAAAGCCAGCTACAAAAAAACATGGTTTGATGAGTTTAGTTTGGAAGAGGTCATATAGCCTGCATAAAGCCTTGACCCTCAATCCAATCAAAACCATTGAGATAAATAGGAACATTGTTTACGAGCCAGGTCTTCTCTTCCACCATCAGTAATTGACCTCACAAATGTTCTTCAGGTTGATAGGCACAAATTCCTTCAGAAACAATCCCAAATCTTGTGCAAAGCCTTCCCAGATAAGTAGAGTTTGATATAATTGCAAAGATGGGAACAATTCCATATTAATGCTCATGATTTTGGAATGGGATGCCCAACAAGCTCTTATAGGAGGTATGGTAAGGTGTCCACAAACCTTTGGAGATATGGTGTATTTTACCTCTGTAGCAGCAGTGCAGCCAAATCACCCAGACCATGGAGATGGAAAAGATGTGCATATTAAAAGCCTGCATTCCAGAAGCTGGCCATGCATACAATCTGATTTTATGACATCTGTACAATCTCTGTACAGTCTTTTAGATCCAGCAGGTCTGTGCAGTAGAAGCTCTGTCTTAAACTGTTTGTACACCCTTAGAGTTTAGAAAAGTCTAAAGCTGGCAAACATGGTTCAGTTTGTTTTGAGTGAAAAAACTTAACTAGTTCCCCCATCTACACATTTGAGGTTGATGGGGGAATCCTCCCAGCTGTGGTATTTTATATTCTGACAGTGGGGAAACGCTATCGTAATACACAGATCTGTGCTGGCTGCAGCTGCTGATCAAGCAGCTTTTATCCGACAGAGTGGTTGAGCAGACGTTGATCAGCAGATTTAAAATTTGCCTGGCTGCTGCTGAACTGAACAAGTTTTGATCTATGGCCACCTTAACAGATTCCATCATTCAAGCTATACAATGCAGATAAACACATCTCCTGCAGCAGAAGATGTCAGAATACCCTTATAACAGTTGCATCTGAATGGATACAGCCACTGTTCAATCAAAAAAATCTCCATCCAGCACCTTCAATTTTTCAATGAAAAGATGTAGGGTAGGAGGGATCCAGAGGGGCCAAGCATAGAGTGAATTTTTACTAGAAATCAGCTGAAATCTGAATAGTGTATGAGCAGCTTAAACAATCCATTCCATTTGCATTCAGTTGGGTGGGGTCAAACAGAGATATATGAACAGCTTTGGGGCTTGTTCAGATCTCAGCAGTAAAGGGCCACTTTACCAAATCAATGATAACTGTATATGGGATAACTGTATATGGGAACTGGACTATCTGATCAGGAGGCTCATTTCAGATCTCTGTGGTCCTATGATGGTGCATTCCCATCCCTATAGACATGAGATGATTGTTGAAGCCAAACTGGATAATCTCCTGTTTGAGGCAACAAGGCCCAGAGAATCGCTCTCAAAATGTTTTTGAAGTGTCTTGTCACCAGTCCTTTCTTCTCAGAAAAGTCACTAAGAGGTGTCTGTTGATGTTCTGTGCCCCTCCAAAGGTTCAACTAAATAGGTATGCCCTGATAAAACCAGGCATACATCTGCATGTTATGGTCAGCAGATAGATGCCTTAGGAAGATGAATGGTACCTGACTAGTGATGGGCCAAACACCCCTGTGTTTGGTTCGCGGTCGAACGTTCAAACCTAATGAATGTTCAACCGTCAACTTTGCACTCAATGTAAGTCTATGGGACTCAAACTTGTAAATTCAAAAGTGCCAATTTTGAAGGCTTATGTGCAAGTTATTGGCCATAAAAGGGGTATGGGGATTCGGGGTACTGCTCTGAGGGACATGAATCAGTGAAAAAAATGAATTTCAAAAAGTACCATTTTTAAAGGTGCAGTCATTTTTCATTGCTTAAAGTAAAAAAAAAAAAAAAATCCTGTAAACATCATGCCTGCGTGCCCCCCCCCCCCCCCCCCCCCCAAATATCCATAACAGACCCTTTAGTAAAAAAATGTTTTTTAAAAGTGTGTGGGGTGCCCCCTAAAAGCCATACCAGGCCCTTTACGCCTTGTAGGACTTTTAAGGGGAACCCCACTCGCAAAAAATGAGGGGGAAAAGTTTGAGGTCCCCCCTAGATTCCTACCAGACCCTTGATCCAAGCACAGGCCTGGCAGGACAGGAGGAAAGGGGGGGGGGGGTGATCGAGCGCCCCTCCTCCCTGCGGCTTACCAGGCCGCATGCACTAGGCAAAAAAAAAAAGCCAAAAAAAGATTCCATCATTGTAATCCATCATCAGTTACTAAAGGCGGACTGACAACTCATGGGGCCCCCAGGCAATACGGGATCATGGGGCCCTGGTGTCCTCGCCCACACTCAAAAAAGCCTTTGAAAAAGGTACCAGGGGCATCTCATGGGGCCCCCTACTGACCCCGGGCCCTTGGTCAGTGCCCGAGTTTCCAAATGGTCAGTCCACCCCTGTCAGTTACGGTGTCCAATGTTGTCACGGCGATGCCGACTCACCAAGATGATAAAAAAACCTGACGCAGCCGACCTGTCCACACCTGCCGAGCACTCGCCACAATTGCTTATGTCGGACAATCAGACAATTGCTTATGTCTGATTGGCAACTGTCAGAACTGTCATCAACAATAGTGCAGAGCTAACGGTGACTGGCAACTGTCACGCCTGTCTGGCATGTTTATTTATTCTCAATTTAACCCTTTAGTGAATGGGTAGTGGTACAAGTACCCCTACTTATTCACATAGTGGGGCAGCATAAGGGTGCCCTGATGCTAATGAGCCCCCCTGCTCGCAGACCCCCACAGCCACCAGGCAAGGGTTGTGGGGAACACAACCGCCCCAATGCCGAGGGCACGTGGCCTGGTAAGCTGCAGGGAGGCCTTTCCTGGCCTGCCAAGCCTGTGCTCAGATCAAGGGTCTGGTAGGAATTTAGGGGGAACCCACGCTTCCCCCCATTTTTTGGGGGGTGGGGTTCCCCTTAAAAGTCCTACCAGGCCTAAAGGGGTCTGGTATTTATTACAGGTACTTATATAGTGCTGTAAATTTACACAGCACTTTACATATATTTTGAAACGTAACATCAGTCCCTAACGCTCAAGGGGTGTACAGTCTAAAGTCCCTAACTTATATCCATACATACACATACTAGGGCCAATTTACACAGGAGCCAATTAACTTGCCAGCATGTCTTTGGATTGTGAGAGGAAACCGGAGTACCCGGAGGAAACCCACGCAGACACAGGGCCTGTCACTTGTAAACTCCAGGCAAGTGGTTCTGTGGTTGGGATTCGAACCAATGACCCTAGTACTGCCAGGTAGAAGTGCTAACCATTGGTATGGCTTTTAGGGGGAACCCCACGCACTTTCCTCCCCCCTTTTTGGGAGGTGGGGTTCCCCTTAAAAGTCCTACCAGGAATTTTTTTTCTCCCCTCTGTCTTATATAGTGTAGGGTGGGGACTGTACACTGTGAGAGTGCAGTGCATTGTGGGGTGTTTGGCTGGCGAACAGTTGGCGGTGTATTCACACTGTAACCCTACTTGATGAGTGCAGGATTGGACCCTGCTCTAACAATTCAAAATGTCACACAGTGTGTTGAAAAAATGGGTCTTGGGTGTTGGTGCCTCTGCACTGTAACTCCATACAGTTACTCTTCATGAGCACGTGAAATTGGCACTGCTCTAAAAAAACGAAATTATACAGTTGTGGCCAAAATTATTCAACCCCCACTGAAATTGAGTGTTTTGGCCAGTTTGACATTGCTTTTGATCATTCAGTCATCTTGCTTACATTTACATTAAAGAGGCACTTGTAGGTCAGACAAATATAACATAACAGTTATAATGAAATAACCACAAATGTCTTTTCTGTGCTCACAGCATTATCAGTTTTATTCAACCCCCAAGTGACATTCAATCTTAGTACTTAGTACAGCATCCTTTTACAGTTATAACAGCTTTTAAAACGTGAAGCATAGCTTGACACAAGTGTCTTGCAGCGATCTACGGGTATCTTCGCCCATTCTTCATGGGCAAAGGCCTCCAGTTCAGTCACATTCTTAGGCTTGCGCACTGCAACTGCTTTCTTTAAGTCCCACCAGAGGTTCTCAATCGGATTTAAGTCTGGTGACTGCGATGGCCACTCCAAAATGTTCCAGCCTTTCCTCTGCAACCATGCTCTAGTGGACTTGGAGGTATGCTTGGGATCATTGTCCTGTTGAAAGGTCCAACGTCTCCCAAGCCTCAGGTGTGTGACGGACTGCATCACGTTTCCATCCAATATCTCCTGGTACTGAAGAGAATTCATGGTACCTTGCACACGCTGAAGCTTCCCTGTACCTGCAGAAGCAAAACAGCCCCAAAGCATGATTGACCCTCCACCATGCTTCACAGTAGGCAAGGTGTTCTTTTCATCATAGGCCTTGTTCTTCCTCCTCCAAACATAGCGTTGATCCATGGGCCCAAACAGTTCTAATTTTGTTTCAATCAGTCCACAGAACACTATCCCACAACTTTTGTGGTTTGTCCACATGGCTTTTGGCATACTGCAGTCGACTCTTCTTATTCTTTGGAGACAGCAAGGGGGTACGCCTGGGAGTTCTGGCACGGAGGCCTTCATTACGCAGTGTGCGTCTTATTGTCTGGGCTGAAACTTCTGTACCCACATCTGACAAATCTTTTCTCAGTTCCTCAGCAGTCACAAACGGGGACTTCTCTCCACTCTACGCTTCAGGTAGCGCACAGCAGTCGAAGTCAGCATCTTCTTTCTGCCACGACCAGGGTTAGCGTTTCAACAGTGCCCTTTGCCTTGAATTTGCGAATGATGCTTCCTAAGGTGTCTCTTGGTATGTTTAACATCTTTGCAATCTTCTTATAGCCATTGCCCTTCCTGTGAAGAGAAATCACCTCTTCTCTTGTCTTCCTGGACCATTCTCTTGCCTTCACCATGTTTGTAACCACACCAGTAAATGTCTAGAAGGAGCTGAGTATCACAGTCATTTTAAAGCTGCCTAATTGGTGCTTATTATGCTTGATTGCTGCTCGGTGACATCCACAGGTGTTTTCAATACCTGATGGAAAGCACCTGTATGAACCTCTGTTCTTCAGAGTGGTAGTCTTTAAGGGGTTGAATAATTGTGGCAATGAAGAAACCACATAAGAACCATTTACTACTGTATTACATAAACAATTGATGTCATTTTAGTTGCATTTGGGTAGTTACAACGTCCTTGTAGGATTTGATTCTGAATACAATTCCAAATGTACACTATAGTCCCTAAACCCCTTTACAGCATTGGGGGTTGAATAATTTTGGCCACAACTGTATGCACCTGTCATACAGGTCCGGAAAAATTGGGTGTTGGTGATGCCTGAACCCTATAACCTCTCACAGTTATTCTTGATGAGCGCAGGAATAAGCCCTGCTGTTAAAAATGTTTCAAAAATTTAAATTGCATGCACCTAACAGCTGCAGAAAAATTGGGCTTTGGGTGTTGGTAGTGCCCTAAACTAAAAACATTGTTGGAAGCTAGCATAATCAGGATTCAGTAATAGCATAGGCAGCGTAGGCAGTCTTCAAGGGATTCCAGATCCCTAACAAATTTAATCAGGTACATCAGCATCAGGAAATTGATAGCTGCTGTTGATCCAGGACTGATTCATTCTGATAAATGTCAGCTGGTCAATGGAGTTTGTGGACAGACACATTCTTTTATCCATCACAAAACCTCCAGCAGCACTGAATGTCCATTCAGAAAGCATGCTGGATGCAGGACAGGCCTGTAGCATACTGAGCAAGTTCTGGCCAGTGATCCATCCTCAAGACCCAGTAACACAGTGTATCCTCAGTTGGACAGATCTCCAAGTCTGCTCTTGCCCCTAGATAATTCTGCACCATATGATGCAGATGCTGCCGATGGGTGCTTAAATCTAACATCCCTGGGCACTGAGGACTGAAGAATTGTTAAAAGGCATCGGTCAGCCGGCAGCCTTTTCCACTGCTTTTTCTTTGACTAAATGAAGCCTCAGAAACATGCCTAGGAAATGGTAACCTTCCAGTGTCTGGAAAGGGTGTTACACAAATTTTTCTTCAAGGCGTCCTCAAGATGTTTCATCCTCTGTAAAGGCAGGATGAGCTCTGCAACTTTACCCTCATAACGTGGATCAAAAAGGGTTGCCAACCAGTATTGATCCCTCTCCTTGATACCACGAATCCTTGGGTCCTTTCGTAGGCTTTGCAGAATCAGGGAGCCCATGCAGCATAAGTTTGAGGAGGCATAAGATTCTGAGTCCTCTAGGTCACTGAGGTTGACACTGTGAGGAACTGCCTCCTCCCAGCCACGTACTAGCTGGGTTTCTGGGGACAATCCTCCTCTTCCTGTCTGTTCTGTGCCCCACAGGAATGGTATCTACATAAAGGGGGTCTTGAGAGGAAAGGAAGTCCTCCTCTTCCTCTGGCTGTTCTGCCTCAAGTGCCCTGTCCATGATTCCAAGAGGAATGTGCTCCATCAGGAAGACTAGAGGTATAGCATCACTGATGCATGCATTATCGCAGCTCACCATCCTTGTGACCTCCTTAAATGGTGACAAGACAGTGCATGCATTCTTTATCAGCAGCCACTGGCGTGGCGAAAAGAAGCCAAGCTCCCCTGAGCCTGTCCTTTTGCCATACTCACACAGGTACTCATTGATGGCCCTCTGCTTGCGTGTGCAGCTGCTGCAACATTGCCAATGTTGAGTTCCACCTGGTGGGCATGTCACAAGTGAGGCAGTTGGTGAGCAGGTTGAATTCCCGTTGAATGTCAGCCAGCCGAACACTGATCGGCTATGACTGCCAGAAATGCCCAAAGACTTTTCTGGCCTGCCTCAGAAAATCTTGTAAGTCTGTGTACCTGTTCAAGAAATTCTGCACCACAAAATTCAGGACATTTGCTAAGCATGGAACATGTGTCAAGTGTCCCTGTCGGAGGGTGGAGAGAAGATTGGTGCCATTGTCACATATAACAATTCCTGGCTCAAGCTACCATGGCATCAACCACCTCTGAGCCTGCCCATGCAGAGCTGACCGAAACCCTTCTCTGGTGTGGCTCCTATCGCCTAGACAGACCAGCTGAAGCACTGCATGGCATCTTTTAGCCGGACTGCTTGCATAGCCCCTTGAACGCAAGAGCACTGCTGGTTCAGAGGACAGTTCAGCAGAAGATGCCATAGAGGAAGAGGAGGGGGTGTGGAGCAGACAGATGTGACAGAATCCCCACCAACTTTTTCTAGATGTGGTGGCGGAACAAGCTCCAGCACTGAACCCTGTCCTGCATCCTTCCCAGCTGCCAGAAGAGTTACCCAGTGCGCCGAGAAGGATGTGTAACGTCCCTGACCATGCCTGCTAGACCACGTGTCAGCAGTACTATAGACCTTGTTGCTGACTGCCCTGCCCAGCGAGGCCAAAACATTGCCCTCCACATGATGGTACAGAGCTGTAATGGGCTTACATGAAAATAAATTTATTTTCAGAACCTGCCTCTGTGGTACAGCACATTCCACAAATTCACGGAAGGGGGCACCAGATGGAAAAGCAGCAGTTGTAATGCTAGCAATTTGGCCACGCT